TAAATCCGCGTGGGAACAGGTAGCCTCATCTTCCTCCTGGTGGCTTTGAACATCTAACCTTATAATTTGTAAACTAATGCTTAACCCATGTGGATGTAAAAAAAAAAAAAATCCATTCTGAGGGACTAAGTTCCATGCAAGTTTAGGTAAAATTTGGACTCATTCATGTAAGAAATGACTACTTCTGACTTGCGGGAGGAGATTTAGCATTCCTGTCAGAATCCAGACAGAGAGACCAGTAAAGACTATTTTGCTATGATGTGCTATTTGCTACGGGGAGAGGGTGAATCCCGGAAGATTTGGGGCTTCCTGTGTGAAAGCAGAGGTAGTAGGTAATGACAAGGGAGGCATTCCAGGCAGAGAACCTGGCATTTATGTGAAGGGCATGTGCATGGAAAGAGAGCACCCACCTGAAGGTCCCTGGGGCATCAAATCCCACTTATTCTTAGTTCTTGATACCACATACTGGGCGAAAGGTGTCCTGGAGGCCAGCAAGTGAGCAGGGGCCTGGTCTCCATGACCTCACAAACCCTGCCCCGAGTCTCTGGGCAGTCATTGATGGCCACTTTGAATGCCACATGTGGTGTCACCCTCACTCTTAGACTCCCCTGTGACCCCAAGTCTCCCTCACCTGTCATATCAATAAAGTCCCCTCCTCAATCCTGGCTTCACTTCCTTCAAGCCTGCCTTTACCCCTTGGGAAATAAGTTTGATGGATGGCCCTTCCCCGATCCACCAGGAACTGCTCTTGATCACACTTTCCCCCAAATGGCTTGTTTCGGTCCTGCTCTCAGACTACAGATAAAATGGCTTGCGGATGCCTCCTTCCAGGCACGGATGGCGAGACTTCATTTTACATGACATCAGGAGAGGCATTCCCTAGAGAAGGACATCATGCTTGGTAAAGCAGAGGGGCAGCGAACCAGAAGAAGGCCCACAAGGGGATGGATGGACAAGCTGGTGGCCACCAATGGGCTCCAGCATAGGGGCAAGTGAGAGGATGGCGCAGGATGGGGCAGGGTTGAGTTCTACTGGGGTCCCTGTGGGTTGGAGCCAGCTCAATGGTATCTAGTGATGACCACAATAGCAGCAACAACAGTTGGTCTCCTTTCTAAAATCTAACTTGGCTGTTTACTCACTCTCTCTATTCCCCAGGGCACCTGAAAATGCATCTCTACTTGTGGTAAGATACTTAACGGCACCCAAAGAGGTCAATCCTGGAGCCCGGGAATGTGTTGCCTTACTTGGCAAAAGGGACTCTGTGGATGGAATCAAAGGAAGAATCTTGAGATGGAAGGATCATCCTGGATTATCCAGCTTTCCCCAATATAATCATGACGGTCCTTGTGAGAGGGAGGAAGGCTCAAAGTCAGCGAAGGAGACACGTCCAGAAGTGTGGATGCCAGAGTGATGTGAGGCTGTGAGCCAAGGGTGGGAGTTAACCTCCAGAAGTGGGGAAAGGACTGTCCCCAAGGAAACACAGTCCTACTGACCCATTAAGAACCCTCTGCTCCTTAATGGGCTTAGAGTCCATTAGCAAAGAGAGAGATTCAAAAAGAAGGGCAATGAAGTTTTCTAAGGGGGAAGTGAAAATGTGCACCATAGCACATAAACATCCAGGCCTCTACCCAAACGCTGGCCTTGATATGGAAAGTGTGGTCTCTGAGCCAGTAGCATCAGCGTTGCCTGGGAGCTTGTGCAAATGGCAGAATCGCAGGGCAACTGACCAGAACCACTGGGAGGGCCCGGGGACCTGTGTGGTAACAAAACTTCAGGTGCCTCTGCTGTTCCTTAATGTTTGATACTTTGTGCTCTTGGTAACTTTTAAGTTTTGTTCCCCCTGTCTGCTTCATACTTATATCCTGGAATATCTTTTACTATTCTAGCTGCACCCATCACCAACACGCTGATGACAATGAGCTGCCGCTCTCAGGCCCCGATGACTTGATTTTCAATGATTTTAATGCAAATCTATGTCCCCTAACAAACTCATCAATGGTCCCATTTAACTCACTCCTCCTCCTATGTTCCAGTTTAGCTGTCCATTTTATCTGAGATCTTCTCACCAAAACAAACAGAAATCTCAGTCTCTGGCCCTCCCTCCTTCCATTCTCCACCTGCTCCTCATTTCCATCACCGCCAGACTCAGGAATCATCAGATTCATGTTATTCTAAGAAACATTGTTCAAATTGTCCTGGATGAATGAGTATTGTTCTTCTCTTCCTAACTTCCCACTTTCTATCCAAGTTTCTCCACTATTTGTCACCTGGTTTTTTGTTTTGGTTTGATTTGCTTTAATGTAGAACCGGGAATGCCATTTCCTGTTGAAAATCCTTTGAGGACAGATTTACACAGAGAGGCTTGAAGTCCCTTCATAAAATCCAAGATTTCTGAGCATAATATTAATAACCTTTCATAATCTGGCCCCAACTTTCTTTCTTTTAAAAAAAATCATTTTACTGGGGGCTCATACAACTCTTATAACAATCCATACATACATCAATTGTGTCAAGCACATTTGTACATTTGTTGCCATCAACATTCTCAAAATATCTGCTGTCCACTTAAACCCTTGGTATCAGCTCCTCATTCCCACTCCCACTCTCCCCTCCCTCATGAACCCTTGATAATTTACAAATTATTATTATTTTGTCATGTCTTATACTGTCCAATGTCTTCCTTCACCCACTTATCTGTTGTCCATCCCCCAGGGAGGAGGCTATATGTAGATCCTTATAATCGGTTCCTTCTTTCTACCCCACCTTCCCTTCACTCTCCTGGTATCACCACTCTCACCACTGGTCCTGCAGGGATCATCTGTCCTGGATTCCCTTGTTTCCGGTTCCTATCTGTACCAGTGTACATCCTCTGGTCCAGCCAGATTTGTAAGGTAGAATTCGGATAATGATAGTGGCGGGGAGGATGCATTTAAGAATTACAGGAAAGTTTTTTGTTTCATTGTTGCTACACTGCACACTGACTGGCTCGGTTCTCCTCCCCGTGACCCTTCTGTAAGGGGGTGTCCAGTTACCTACAGATGGGCTTTGGGTCTCCACTCTGCACTCCCCCTCATTTACAGTGATATGATGTTTTGTTCTTTGATGCCTAATCCCTGATCCATTCCATACCTCGTGGTCACACAGGTTAATGTACTTCTTCCATGTGGGCTTTGTTGCTTCTGAGCTAGATGGCCATTTGTTTATCTTCAGGCCTTTAAGACCCCAGACTCTATATATTTGGATAGCTGGGCACCATCAGCTTTCTTCACCACATTTGCTTATGCACCCATTTGTCTTCAGTGATCATAAAGGGGAGATAGGCCCAACTTTCTTAAGGTAGTTCTTTGAAAACTCTCTGGGATGCCTGTCCTCCATCTCTCACTCGCAGGATTCTTACTTCCTGAAGGGCCGCTGCCTTTGTTCCATCTGCTATAATGTTCTCACTCCTCAGCGTCTGCCATGGAGGCCCCTCCCTTTGTGGGGCTTCATGGCACCTATTTCCCCTTGAGACCAGAGTTCACTACTCCTCCCTGGCTATACATTTGCAGAGCACTTTCAATTCTGTTTAATTCCATCTCAGTCTATGAATGTTTACCAAGTATCATCAGATAAAAAGCTACAGATTCCGAGGAAAATAAGACATCAGTTCGGATGATGGCACGTAGGTGCAACCATAACTTTGAGTCAAGAATTCATCTTTTTTGTGCACTTGTGTTGGTTTTTCCAGAATCTATTTCCTTCTTCCTCTCTGCCAGAAGCCTCTTGGTTCTGGCTGGGTATCTTCGTGGTTCTGGAGAAGTTCTGAGACACAGCATATGTCCTCATTACTGAGAATATGAGGATTTATGCTTGGGTGTGGATGGTTTGGAGACAGAAGCAGCATGGCTCCTAGAGAGCTCCTATCACCTATCTAGGAACTATGAGGATATAGCCTGGAGAAAATAGAAGCCAAAATGTAGGAATCAAACTCTGAGCTGTGGCTCCAGAGAAATTGTTCTGTTCTCATTATCTGAACCCTTGAATCAAGCCTTATCTGAAGGCTTTACCTGTCACCTGAGCCAATTCATTTCTTAAACAAGTGGGGCTTGGTTGTTTTGTTACTGATAAGCAAGCACATCCTAATTGTTAAATCTTTTGAGTCCCGAGGAAGGGGGGCGGGGGGGAACTGTTGTAACCTCTGAGTCCAAACTGGGGGATCTGGACCATACGCTCTGTGCTCATCACTAATCTCCCCATCAATCAAGAGAGCACTGGTCTCTGCCTTAGAGAAACGACAGACTCCAAGCGTTAGCTGGCTTTTAGTTAACCAGCTGCAAGGACACGTTTGAATGTTTGTTGTATTTGATTACTCAACTTTTGCCCATCACCTCCTCGCTTCTATGATGCTAGAAAAAGTAGCTGGATACAGATAGTCATTTGAGAGAGGAAGCCCTAAGCACACATGCCATCCACATATGCCCAAACAGGCCTGTTGGTGTGGACCGTTACACAGAAGGGCTTTGTTACCTCCGGTTGCTTCCTTTTGGCTGCTGCCTGCAGAAGCCGCAGAAGGTGGTACCGCTCTGGTTGCTCCAGCTGAGGCATCAAAGCAAGGAGCTCTGCTAGGTGCCTGTTAATGGGCTGAGGATGCTTTTCGTACACAGCAGAGAGGATTCGCAGCAGCATGGCATTCCCTGTCCAAGAAACGTACAAGGAAATGATGGTTTATTGGCTTAGGAGTCATAAAAACAGCATTATCCTCTGCATAGCCACCTTCACACTTACATTATTAAATAATGCAGTCTTCTGCTAAATATAGCACAGTACCGTCTTCTGAAAAATCACGAAAGCATGATTCAAATGGATTTCATAAAAGGGAATGTTTTATGATAAAACGGGCACTTTTTCTCTGAGTCATACACCGTGGGCAAAAGGCCACAGTCTGACAGTAATCTGATCGCGCCCTTGAGGAGGAAACAGTTCTGATAAAGAATTTCTAAGGAGGAGCAACATTGGGATGATGCGTCCATACAAACTAATGGCATCGATAGGAAACCAAAGAGCACCTGAAAACAACAACAACAACAACAACAACAACAAATGCAGAAGAATGTATTCACATTCCTAAGAGATACAGAGGCATTGTTCTGACAACTGACATAAGGAAGCTATGATATATTTTTATGAATAGTTTTTTTTAAAAGAGCATAGCTATGTAAATTTAAGTCCCCAATTTCTGCACTATTTCAAGGGAAGTTTAGACTAAGCTTATTTGTCAATTGTGATTTACCTCAAAGACATGGATGGACAACTGCATTCAAAATAGCAACGCCTCAAGAAAACATAAACTGCGCCGACTTCGCATGCAAAGAACATATGGGAAACATCTGCTGATCACTTCATGGTATGGATTTTTTTTTCTCTCTCTCTCTCTCAAAATCCTCCCCAACACTTGACTGTCTCAGAGGAATTGGTTTCTCGAACACGAATTTTCTTGCTTCTATTTAGTTTACATTGTCTTTGTATATAGAAGACGTACACAGAAAGAACCAAATAAGCAGGGATTACACATACGTAGACTTCATTACATGGTGAGGACATGCTCATGTATAGAGAATACTTAGCTTTGAGCATTAAGAAACAAGGTCAGCATTTCCAGAATAGCAATGATACGTTTAATAAGAAAGTGCAGGACAGTGATTTATTTAACATGGCTCTGCTAGCCAAGGTCTTTGTGACTCCCACAGACGACCACTTCCTGATGGGTTTGAGTAAGAGAAGGTGGAAGAAGACATTGATAAAAGTCGGTTGTCTGTGGTTGTTAATGGGACTCATGGCGATTGCCATTCTGCTGAATAGAGAAGCGGCTGTCTCAGAAGCAAGAAGGGAGGATTGTGCGAGCAGCAAAAGAGAAGAGTCAGGAGTGCAGCAAGTCCTTTAGAATCTGAGGTCCCTGCTCATTGAACCCTCTCCATTCAGAACAGTTTTGACACCAGAGCAGCGGCGGCAGCAGCAGCAGCGGCGGCAGCATCAGGAGCCAGAGCATGAGGTACATGGGAAGATTTCCCAACTCGCAGAACAAATAAAGCTGAGAACCTTCAGGCAGGAGGCTGGCTTGTGGAGTGGGGTGTCTCCAACCGCTCAACTAGGGGGATCTAGGTTTGTTGACTTATGGAGCTAGAGCTGAGCACCTTTGCACTGGGGGTTATGGTGGAGTGGTATCCCATTTGGTCATTTATTGGCAGCCCTAAAAGAACTTGGTAATATTGCAAAAGCAGGGACAAGGTCAATGCTCCGTGAGGCTGAAAAGCCAGGCAAAGAAAATGAGGACCAGAGACAGGCTGGTACAACCAGAGGCTGTCCTGACAGAACATCTTATCCTGAGCATTTCTCACCTGAACTGTAACTTGCTAACTTCTCCAATGAACTCCATACTGCACCACCATGATTATTTTCCATGAGTTCTGTTATAGCCATTGCAGTGCATCATGGACCTCAACCGAGAGGTAGAGAATGCAATGGAAGAGATAGTTGGTGTCAGAATTGATAACGTTGGTAAGGGGAAGAAGCCTGTTTGATTTTAGTGCAGTAGGAATTGGCCTTGGGCAGCTGAAGATGATAATGGTGTTTGTTTTTTCTTTCCTCCTCCCCTGTAAAGTTGGAAGAGGTCAGACACTACACTGACATCACTCCATGTCCTTCTTTTTATGCAGAAAGTTATTTGATTCTGAATCAAATAAAATGTATTTGGATCATGACAAACAACAAATTTCTTTTTCCATTGGTGGCTTATAGAATGTCCCAAACCGATTCTACTTACATGCCTACAGACCACAAGATATCAAAATATTCAGGCTTTAAAATACATACATATCTGTATATATGTACATATATATTGTGTATATGTGTAGATAAAATGTGTATATATGTGTATGTATGTGTGCATACATATGTTGTGTCTCTTGTGAAACATTTTGCTTCCTGTTTATTGTGAACAGAAAGGACAAGGATTTTTGAATATCACATCAAGCTCAACTGAACACATTATTTGCTGGAACTTAATTACACAGACACTGATCAACTCCTGAAATTTTCACATTAAGACTGTGATTGTAATCTCCTCTTGGCTGTTTGGTGCGGCACTCACTTAAGACCTTCAAGGTGTGAAAACCCAGATTAGACCTTTTCAACCGACTATAAATTAGATCAAATAACACAAGAAATGCACAGAAACTACATTTTTAAAGTTAGAAACTGATGAAGGCCGTTTGGTGTTGAAATCCCATAAATTCCATTCATAAGTGAATATGTTCTTTTTAATTACAAAATATCTCAAGCCACATTTCAAGTATAGACAGTACCATAAGGATCACAGGTGTGTCCTTCAGCGGCTTAACCACAACTTCACCTTGTGCTACAACGGCTTCCATCCCATCCATTTCATGTTCTCCCCAGGTGCTACTCTTTTCCCGAATTGATTAGTGTTTACGGCTTTGATGAATACTCTTACATTTCAATGTGTGTTGTAAATCAATAAATATCTTTAAACTTTAGCAGTATTGTATGCTGTTTCGATACTTTCTCCATTCAGTACTACATCTTTAATATTATCAGAGCCCTATGGTATTCCATTATACAAATGTATCTATACCTTCTACCATTGAAAGGCATTTCCAGTGCTACAGCTTTGTACCCGTCTCTTTTCTGGATAACTGGGGGAACTGTTCTCTGCAACAGGACCTCTGAGTCTAATGTGTATAGAAATCATGTAGGCATACTGGTTTTGAAAGGGGCAGTGGTTAAGGATTTGACTGCTCACAGCAAATCCAGTAGCTTGGACCCACCAGAGACTTGGACTCTGCAGGAGAAAGATGTCGCAATCTGCTTCCATCAGGATTTCAGCCTTGGAAACCCTCTGGGCAGTTCCACTTGGTCCTGCAGGGTCACTACGAATCAGAATTGACTCGATGGCAACAGAGTTCTTGTTAAAACACAGATATGGATTCAGGAAGTTGGGAGTGGGACCTGAGAGCCTGCATTTCTAACAAGCTCTCTGGTGATGTCCCTGCTGACCCTTCCTGGACCACATGATTGAGGAGCGAAGCAGTGCATATGTCTCTGGGAGTTGAGTTGCTAGATGTTGAAAAATTGTTTGCCCTGTGATTGTATTTCTTTTCTAGAGCTGTCCTAACAAATCACCACACATTCACCGGCTTCAAAGAACTCCCTTTCTTGTCTCGTAGTTCTGTGATTCAGAAGTCTGACACAGGTCTCCCTGGGCCACAGTCAAGGTTGGGTTTCTTCCTGGGAGGACCCATAGCCTTAGTTTGTCCAGTTTCATGAAGCCACCTAGCGTGTCTGGGTTTGGTACAAGTGGTTAACATGTTGGGCTGCTACCCAACAGGTTAGAAGATCATGTCCACCCAGGGGTGCCTCTCAGGAAAGGTATGAGGACCAACTTCAGAAAAGTCAGCTCTGGACAATTCTATGGAGCACAATTCTACTCTGTTGAGAGACCAGCTGCATTCTTTGGCTCATGATCCTCTCTCCATCTTTAAAACCAGCAACATAGCATCTCTCTGACACTGCCTCCCTTTCCCACTTTTAAGGATGATCATCTATGGTCCACCCCAGCAATGTAGAATAATCTCCATGTTTTCACATGCTGTTATTTCTGTTAGGTGGCCACAAGGTGATTTCTATGCCCGGCGATGCCAAGTAACAGAGTAAAACGGCTGCATAGGCTTCTTCTCTGGGGTGTAATATTTACGGGAGCAGATCAGAAGGCCTTCCTCCCGTGGAACGACTGGGTGGGTTTGAATCACCATCCTTTTCATTAGCAGCCAAATGCTTAATGGTTACACCACAAGAGCTCCTTTCAGATAGAACTACAAGTCTGAGATTATTGCTCTAAAACCGTAGCGACTTCTCTTAAACAAAAATATCAAAATATGGAGGTAGACTTCCTGACATATCCTCCATCTTGGTCTCTATATTTCTTTTTTTTAAAAATCGTTTTATTAGGGGCTCCTACAACTCTTATCACAATCCATACATACATCAATTGTGTAAAGCATATTTGTACATTCATTGTCCTCATCATTCTCAAAACATTTGCTCTCCATTTAAGTCCCTGGCATCGGCTCCTCATTTTTCCCCTCCCTCCCCGGTCCCCACTCCCTCATGAACCCTTGTTAATTTATAAATTATTACTTTTTCATATCGTGCCCTGTCCGATGTCTCCCTTCACCCACTTTTCTGTTATCCATCCCCCAGGGAGGAGGTCACATGTAGATCCTTATAATCAGTTCCCCCTTTCCAACCCACTCTCCCTCTACGCTCCCAGTATTGCCACTCACACCACTGGTCCTAAAGGGATCATCTGCCCTGGATTCCCTGTGTTTCTAGTTCCTATCTGTACCAGTGTGCATCCTCTGGTCTAGCCAGACTTGCAAGGTAGAATTCGGACCATGATGGTGGTGGGGGAGGAAGCATTTAGGAACTAGAGGAAAGTTGCATTTTTCATTGTTGCTACATCGCACCTGACTGGCTCATCTCCTCCCAGAGACCCCTCTGCAAGGGGATCTCCAGTGGCCTACAAAGTGGTGACAAACTCTGCCTTGACTTTGAATGGCCTAGCAGGAAGCTATTGACGTGATGGAAATGTGCTCTCTGGATCGAATGGTAAATCCAAGACTCCACCCTGGTTACAGTCCCTTCCATAAAATCATCCTCATTGGTTTTCAGTCTTGCTTAAATGGCTGATGCAAAGATTAACTCTTTGAGCTAGTGGGTCTTCATGACACATTTTGGCACCCATCAGCTGAAAGCTTGAGACTCAGATTTTCTTTTCAAATTGAAACGTGAAATCATTCGAGATCCCAGCATCAGTAGGTATCAATAGCATCAATGGGCAATCTACGGTCTTCTGCGTCAGTTCCTGGACTTTAGCCAGTTTCCTTATTTATCCAGGTTGATGGGCTTTCCTGGCTTGACTCATCTTCAAGGTCTTTCCTACCTTTCCTATAATGCTTGATCCATCTACAAATTGGTTTAGATTTATTGAACATAGAGCAGCATTCTCATAAAGTTGTTGCAAATCATCAATGATTTGGGAAGGCGTCCACTTGAGTTTTATTAAAAATTATTAGTTCTGATCTCAATATTAGTTTTATTTTCCAATGGCTCAAGAAGGTTTTTGTTTTGTTTTATTAAATTGGCACCCTAATGAAATGAACATAAATGCATTACTGAGAGAGCTTGCTTACAGCCATCAACTCATGGCAGTGACGTCTTGAAACATCATTTGTTTGGCATAAACCGTGTGAACTGAACCCTGGAAGCAAGAAGTTCCTGGAAATATTTCATTACCTTCTACCCCATTCGTGTGCATGTGTGTGTGTGTGTGTGTGTGTGTGTGTGTGTGTGTGTGTGAAACCTAATTCTGGCAATTCTGACTCACCGTGACCCTGTAAAACCAAGCAGAATTGCCCCCTAGGGTCTTCAAAGCTGTGGGTTTTTCGAGAAGCAGACTGCCACATTGCTTTCCTTCAGAGGGGCTGGTGGTATGCAGCTCTTTAAGCTGACCACTTAACCACGGTGCCACCAGGACTTTTCTCTAGTTCATATTGTAACCTCATTTCTATCTTAATTATCCTTTGCTATGAAAAATAACATGAGATCTCCACAGGGTTGGGGGTTAGGATATGGGCCAGCCCACCACAGGGTTATAGCAATCCACACACCCACCAGCAGGGTGTAGCTGGTGCTCCACATCGTTGCTAACATTTCTTCATGACAGACATTCATTTTTGCCAAACTGATGGGGTATGAGACGATATCTCATCTTTCTTGTATTACTTTTGTATTTTAGCTACTTGGGAGGTTGAATATGTTTATAAAATGTTTAAAGGCCATCTCCTTCTTCATGATTTGGCCATTTATAACTTTAAAAATATATTTTCATTGGAGACTCTTACATCTCTTATCACAATCCATACATTCCCCAGTGTGTCAAGCACGTTTGCACATATGCCGCTATCATCATTTTCAAAGCATTCTCTTCCCACTTGAGCCCCTGATATCAGCTCCTCATTTCTTCCCCCTCCCTTATGAATCCCTGATAAGTTATAGATTATTATTTTCATAGCTTACATCGTCCTACGTTGCCCCTCACCCACTTTTCTGTTATTCGTCCCCCTAGGAGGGGGTTCTAGATTGATCCTTGTGATCGATTCCCCCTTTTTCCCTAATCTTCCTGGTATCTCTACTCTCCTCGTTGGCCCTGAGGTGTTTATCTATCCTGGATTCCCTGTGTTGCGGGCTCTTATCTGTAGCAGTGTGCATGCTCTGGTCTAATCCGATTTGTAAGGTAGAATTGAGGTCATGATAGTGGGGTGAAGGAAGCACCAAAGAACTAGAGGAAATTTGTGTGTTTCATCTGTGCTATACTGCACCCTGACTGGCTCATCTCTTCCCTGTGACCCCTCTGAGAGGGGATGTCCAATTGTCTACAGATGGGCATTGGGTCTCCACTCCAATTCACCTTGGGTATGGTTTATTCTGGGTCTTAGATATGTGATACCTGATCCCATCAATACCTCATGATCACATAGGCTGGTGTGCTTCTTCCATGTGGGCTTTGTTGCTTCTGAGCTAGATGGCTACTTGTTTACCTTCAAGCCTTTTAGACCCCAGACGTGTATCTTTTGATAGCCAGGCACCATCAGCTTTCTTCACCACATTTGATTATACACCCATTTTGTCTTCAGTGGTTGTGTTGGGAAGGTGAGCATCACAGAGTGCTGAATTGTTAGAACCAAGTATTCTTGTGTTAAGGGAGTACTTGAGTTGAGGCCCAATGTCCATCTGCAACCTTAACTTTTAACATATAGATGTGAGTACATAGTTCTAGTCCCTCTCATTATATATATAATATATATTTACATATGTACATGATTGTATTTAGACCTCTATAAATGTCCTTTTGCCTCCAGGTTCTTTGCACTACTGTACTTGATTTTGGTTCCCTCTTTTTATCTTTGACCCCTGCATATATGTCCTGTATTTTGTTGGGAGTTCATTTGTACATTTACAGTTTTTATGAATATTATAATGTAAACACATTTCTCTCTGTGTTTTACCAGAGTGTTTTCCGTTTAGGTTGCTAAATATGTTGACAGAAGCAAGAATCCCCAAATTTACTTTTAGAAGAGGATGCTTGCTGCTAAGTGCCACTGGCTGTGCCCCACCCACCCCCATCCAGCCTTTCCCCAGCAGTTATGGAGGGGCTGGGCTCCTGCCTCTCCCTGGCTTTGCCCCATCCAAATTGAGAATAATACGATTTCCCCATATTTCCAGCCTATGAACAGACACATATGTATTCCTTTCCACCAGCTTGTTCCCACTTTAGTTCTATCTCGTTTTGATGTGCTGTTGCTCATTTTAAAAGTGTGTTTACTGAAGCATAGTCACAACTCAGAAGGATTAAAGACAAGATAACTCTGGGACTTAGCTCCTGCTCATAGACATTCTTGTTAGGTTGTTATATCTTGGAGTCAGTCTACTTTCTCCCAGTTTAGACCTCTCAAACAGTAGTCTAAGGAAAGTGAAAAATGAAGACGGGGGCGGGTGGAGTTCTCCGTTGGTCACACACATTGTGAAATTATAAGAACACCGAAATTATTATCTTGCCTACACATCTCTGTCCCTGCTGAATTGTTTTTTCCCTATTCTAAGGCTGCCAGCACTCCTCAACGTTAGCAAATCCAGTTACTAAATCAAACCCTCAGGGGGGACCGCGGTGCCCGCTTCCCGCCCCCCTCCTCTCTGACACCACTCCCACCAATCGGACTGCAGAATCAACCTTCCCGGTTAATGTGGTGCAACTTCCACACGCCCTCCTCTCCCATTCCGCCCCCTCCCCCAGCAAATCCCGGGGAACTCCCCGTCCGGCCCCCCAGCGCCACTGGCGTTACTCATTCATCCCCGTCCAGGGCGGCTTTCCCCGGCTTTATTAAGAGCGCTCAGCCCCTGCTGCTCACGGTCCATTTCTTCCATCCAGATTGCCAGCCCCTGGCTGCGTCCCCTCTGGAGGGCTGTGCGAAGTCGCCCAGGACGGCTGCCTCTCCAGCTATGCATCTCCCTGCGATCCTGGTTTGTGCTCTCTGGACCGCGGTGTGCGCTGAGAACGCCGATGATTACGAACTGATGTACGTGAACTTGGACAACGAAATAGACAACGGAATCCAGTCCACGGAAGACCGTAAGTTCACCATAACCGTGTCTCTGCTAACCTGGGCTAGAATAACTATCTCGCGGGTCTGAGTAGTGGGCACATGTTTTGTAGCCATTGAGATCAGCCCCAAATTTGTTTTGCAAATGAGAGCAGCACTTTGGGAAAGTTCCATCGGTCAGCGGTACCGGCTGAGTTAAACCGTGTGGAGTTGCCGGTGTTTAACCGGTCCGTGCTGCAAACAACGGCTGTGTCATAGACTTCCATGGATGAAACATCTGAACGAATGGATCCTTACACACCGTTTCGCTGTCGGCGTCTTTAATAGGAGGCAGGGGGGAGGGGGATGATGATGGAGACGGACTGTGACCTGGGGGCCCCCGAGGGAGGTCAGCTTTGTAACCAAGCCCGTCCGAGGAAGGCCTGGGTGGGCGCGTAACCGCGTGTCGGTGTGCTTGCGTCCCGCTCTAGCCCCTCCGTGCGACTGCCGTCGGGAGCCCTCGGCGTGGGACAAGCTGTTCATCATGCTGGAGAACTCGCAGATGCGGGAGGGCATGCTGCTGCAGGCCGTGGACCAAGTCCTGCGCGGCGAGCTGCAGGGG